TATTTATTTTATTTATTTTATTTATTTTATTTATTTTATTTATTTTATTTATTCTGTTCCACGCCTGTTCCTGTTGCCAGGCTCAATATCTATTCTGCACGCCCGCACCCTGAAATCTGATTTATATGAAGATAACCCAGCTAGGTCTAGCGATCAAGAACCACCAAGGAATCAAGAAGTTATTTTATATTGCCCGCTCCTGAGTGCTTCAAAAGACTTACAGTAAGTGAGCAGTCTGACTGGTGGAGCTGGATCTACTTACAATCCAAAGACACCTATGTATGTTTGTAGTTGGCGCTGTATTATCTCTACAGTCTGATGTTACCTTTGTTGGTTATTTCACAACTTTTCTTTACAACTTGGGCTTCACACAGTTATTGTTTTTGATAGGAGATAAAAATCTCCGGTTGTAAGGGCTGGAAGCCCTACAACTTCCCTTGAGGGAAGAATCATGTGCGCGCATCAATAGGATCAATAAGTCCGCAGTTGTATAACCGATTCAAGGCCTGGATCAGGATTGCGGGTAATGTTGGCTATTGTTTTGGATGGATCCTATTGTTCCTTTCTTACACTGGTAGATATAGATAAAATTCTTAAGGCTTTATATACACCGAGCCGTTCTCTCACAGTGTTTCCCAGTCCTTACTGCTGTGAAGCGTTTTAAAGCCATTTTTAATGTGAGGTTAACGTGTTTGTAAAAGGTGAATAGCTAGGTGGGTATACAATTTTCCTAGATTATAAGATAGCCCAGCAGTCCTTCCACTGCATCGCTGAGCTCTTATCGCCGTGGTTGTTGCCGTTATACATAGCCAAGGCGAAGAACAAGGCGATTAGCCGGGGTGTAGGTGAATTTCCTAGGCGTTATATAAGTTAGGCTCTCCGCCATCTATGTTACCACTTGTCACCGCTATAATTCTCGATACTCTTTTTCCCCTGTAGCAATTCTATGGACGTACTTTTGCTTTATGTTTGAGGCGTGGGCCAAGCTAGGGGTGTGTTAGCGATTCTCGCCTGGCTGCCGCTCACTACCCACCTCGGTGGCCTTGGCTACTTCCTTTCAGATATCCCCCTGTAGTCAGAATCCACCATCAATCCACGTCCTTGAAAACGTAGTCATTGAGTGTAGAATCAACTGGCATGTGGTCACCCCCGCATATGTCTCAACACTAGTGCAGCATCGAGTCTTGGCAAGGAGGCAGTGCAGCCCAACAAGTGGCCCTCAGCCACGTTCCTGCTTCAACGTGGGCTTTTCTTCTTTTTTCACCCATAATCTCGTACCATAATGCCTCACTGCTATTGCATTGGAATATTCCCAAGCTTGGTGACTTCAGTTGCTGTCTTCTTTAACGCAGTAACTACTCAGATCAATCGCTAACTAAGCTCACCCCCAATATTGAATCATGTCTCATCAGATAACGCAGGATAACGCCAGCAATACTCATGTCCCTCAACCCGGAACCCTCACGCGCGTGTCCATCGTCCTATCTGCAGCTAGCACCTGACATACCCGGACAAGATCCTGCATGGACGCCAGGGTAAGCGGATGGGATTTGCCAAGGACTTTCTCGCGGCCGCGCGCCGCCCGCTCCGCCAGGGCCTCGGCCTCCTTCCACCGGCCCTGCGACTGATAGATCACCCCTAGATTGGCAACGGTGGTCAGACAATGGGGATGGCTGTCCCCAAGCGCCTTCTGCATGCCCCGCAACGCCTGCGCCGTGAGTGCCTCCGCCTCCCGCGTGCGCCCCTGACTCTGGAAGGTCAACCCCAACTCCGCCATGGCCGTCAGACAGAGCGGATGCAGATCGCCCAGCTGCTGCTTCATAGCGGCGACGGCCCGCGCCCCAAGGCTGGCCGCCTCGTCCAGTCGTCCCTGCAGCCGCCAGGTGGTCGCCAGGTTGACCATGGCCATGAAAGTCTGCGGATGATCGCCGCCCAGCCCATCTTGGCTCCTCTCCACCACCTGCGCCTCCAGCTGCTCCGCCTCCTCAAACCGGCCCAGATCCCGATAGATGGCCGCCAGGTTCGCCATCGACGTGAGACACAGCGGGTGCTGCACCCCTAAACTCGTGACCCTCGCGTCTAGAACTTCGGATTCTAGCTTCTCGGCGTCCTCCAACCGCCCCTGCTCCCGGAAGGTGACCGACAGGTTGGACTTGTAGGTCAGGGTGGACCCGTGGCGGGTGCCGAGCACGCGCGCGCTGCGCTCGATGACGCTCTGCTCGAGGCGGGCGGCGTCGTCGTACCGGCCCATGTACGTGTACGTGGTCGCGAGGTTGCTCATGGAGGTCATCGTGGACGGGTGATCGGGTCCCAGGGTTTTCGTCTTCAAGTCGAGGAGTTGCTTCTCCAGCGCCTCGGCCTGTCGCAGGTGGCCCTTGTTGCGATACGCCGACGCCAGGTTGGACATGGACGCCATGGTCTGCGGACTGTCCATGCCCAGCACCGCCTGCCGGGCCTCGACCACGCGCCGCCCCAGCTCGATGGCCTCGCTCCATCGGCCCTGTCCGCAGTAGGCGGAGACGAGATTATGCATGGCGGTCAGAGTGGCCGGGTTGTCCGGGCCCAACAGCGCCTTTCGGGTGTCTACGACCACATTGCCCACGTCTACGGCCGCGCTCCACTGCCCTTGCTCCAGGAAGGTGAGGACTAGGGCTCCGAAGCGCACGAGGGCCGCACTCGGGTCATCCGGTTCCTGCTGCAGCACTTGGTCCACCACCGCCTCCACCTGGCTTGCGGTCTCTATTTGTTTGTGGGTGTGGTATCGTTCTGCGAGGTTTCGGAAGGTGTTTGCTATCGACGTTGAGGAAATGTCTTCCATCTATTTGGGGGGTTCGAAGAGTTGTTCAGCGGATGGTCGGGGTGGGAGAGCGATTCGGGCAGGAGAAGCCGACCGTCGCGCGAGGGGAATCGACCGGGCGGAAACGGGGTATCCGGGGAGGAAAGGACAAGGACGTCAAGGTGATGGGATTAAACTGGGTCTAAGCTTGTAGAGAGGGATGGATCGGGGATGGCTTGAGCGGGTCGGGGTCGGTGAGCGATGCACAATGGAGAAGGGATGAAGAGAGAATGATGGTGATGATGATGATGCAGCCCAGTGGGACAAGAATGACTTCCCCCTTGGTCTGATTAGAAGTGGGAGAACTGGAGAAAGCCCGACACCGATCATCTCTTGCCAAGACGCTAGGCAGTAGGGCTGTGGACAACTCTCATCGATTTGATTGATTGAGCACCGTTGCTTTATCGGACCTCCGGTCT